TGTACCAGACGCCAGCAAAAAGGAAAGCCCGACGTGGGGGTCGAACCCACAACCTTGAGATAACCAATCGAGTCTTTAGGACGTGAAAGCTAAGAGTCTCACGCTCTACCGATTGAGCTAGCCGGGCGATTTGATGAAATCTGATGATTTGATGGAGGTTTCGAAAATTACCACGCTTATATCCCTATAACAATATTAGGAAAGCATGATGAAGGGGTAAGGAAGATGTGTTTTTGATTCTGATGTGTCGGTGGTACATCTTAGGCTGCGAAGTGGGGTAGAAGAAAAAAACTGCAGTGGGCCGAACCACGCCGCAACGAAGCAAGGCAATCTGTTGCAACACCAGAACGGCACCAACGATGCTACCCAAAAGCTCTCTCTGGAGACAACATACAGTTTTGATGTTTGAAGTCCAAGAAAGAAGAAATTAGGATATATACAGCTTTGGCGCGTATGTACGCCGTTTGGTCTCCGCCTTGCGACAACTATCTAATGAGTTCTTTATGCCAATATAGGACGATGGTATCTACGCTGCATGCTGACTGCGTATTCAAACTGAGCAAGTTAACAATAGTGGCTAAGGTTACGGATACCCCTGTCTATATTGTGTTTGACAGAACGTCGGGTATGCGCCACAAGTTTCGTCATCACAGAGTGAACGAAACAAAGGACCATCACTATGGTAGCTATATATCACTTGACTTTTGCATCTCGCGAAGCTGAGAGGATCAGGATTAGATCAGGCAACTCAAAGTGACCATTGTTCTTAACGCGACATGGAAGACTTGAAGCTGTCGATTGCACGCTCGTGATACAAGCTTAGTGTATGTATCGTTGCTAGGCTGTTTATTATTACATTACTATTCGAGAGCTAAACGTTTATCAAGCTATCTTTCGCTAACACAACGCCGTCATAACCAGAGTGGCTGAATCCCATCGTAATGTACAATCTATGCGAACGATTAACATCGAAGGTCATACTTGCGAGAGTGCAGTCCTTGCGGTCATGCGATAGATCCAAACGCCCTCTCTAAGACTCATATCTTGCGCCGCCGCATTCCGTGACCTTTCCGAAAGGCCTGACTCCACCAGCGAATACCCGTGAAGAAAGTTCACAAGTTCATTCCATCCCAGTCCCCCTGCGTCGGTCCTCCGAACCGCTCTCGCCGTAACCTATCATTCTCCTCAATCAACGCATCCCTCTCCTTCTCAATATTCTGAATATACTCAATCGCGCTCGCCAAGATCATCGCCTTACTCGGCTTCGGCTGCCCAACCACTCCAGCCTCCTCGCTCTGCCTCAATATCGGCACCGACTGTCTCAGCCTCTCCAGTTCAGAATTGAGCCCCTCTCGATACTTGCGCTCAACCTGATTATGCGGTAACCGTTTCGAGCGCTGATACTTTAGAGTCGGAGAAGGCAGGTCTTGGCTGTCGGTGGTATTGCGGTCCATCTTCGGGCGACCCCGCTTCCTCGTGGGGCGTTTGGGGGTGGATGATTCGGAGGCAGAGGTTGGCGAGGATGGGGATTCGTGCTTTAGCATGTGTGGGGAGAGAGATGGTGATATGAGCGGTTGCGGCGCGTCTCCACCGTGCGACGAGGGTTGCGACGTTGTGCTTGTGGGGGAGAAACAGTCTGGTTCGTTCGGTTGTGGTGGCCTTGTGTTTGTGGTGAAGTCGAATGGGTATGGCTCGAATGGACTGGGGTGTATGGTGTTGAATGTTTGCGTCATAGTCTGGTTGTTGTTCCTGGTCGATATGCTGGCCCTGAAAAACGTCGCATTGCAATCTTCTTCTGTCTTCGATGTCGTACCGGATACACTCTGAACTGATGTAAGGCTTTGATCGAAGAATGTATCGGAGTCAAAGAAGGTGTTGAGCGAGTCGTCTGGGCCTGGCCCGCCAAGGTAAGGATTGTCGAAGTAGTTGGTGTACGGCATGGTGTTCTGTGGTGGAGAATGTTCGGTATGTTCGGTCTTGGTTCCATGCGCATCACTCGGAAAGTTCATTCAGACTGTGTCGACTCGTGTATCGGTGGGCGTGTTCGTTGCTGTTTGGCGGTTGATGTATCGGTGTCGCTGGGAATGACGAAAGGCCTGGTATTATAAGAATACGAGGACGTAATTGTATCGACGATTCGAGAACTGCACACCCAACAGAGTAGGTAATAGGTCCTCGTGACCTGCTGGGAATCCACCACTAAGGTTGATCAGGTTCCGGTGTAGTGGCTCAGTACAGTCAAGATGCTTCCAGTAGCTGTACGGTAAACCCAAAATCGCAAGTTAGTTGTGGATCCGTCCTACCCTCAACCTTTATTGGCACGGCTAAGTAAGCCTTCCGCTTCCGCGAGTTTCACTGCAACGTCTGCTACTCATTCAAAGGGTCGAGTTTTTACAATGACTGTAAAGGTCGAACGATAAGCACCTCATCGGCACTGTCCGGTAGGAGCAGCATCTCGTGTAGTCCCGGGACGAGCTCCACTACGCCGAAAGTCGGTTTCCGCACATGCTCCGATCCCGAGTTTCCGATATGACTCTGAAGCCGCATTGCAAAGACTGCGATGTTCGTTTACGTGCGTACAACCTAATTTACCCTGTTGATCCCGGCAAGGCCGCGAATTGCGGTCTCAGAATCTACTCAACAAAGCCATGATGCAGGATCTGATTTGCTTTCGCTTGTACGCGGCTAACTCGGGACGGATCGTATAAACTATCTGCGATGCCGGATGGCTTCCTCACGGTATGATTACTGGCTTGCTTTATTAGCAGATGTTTTGCGGTACCCCGATCGCAAGGTAAATGTCAGTAAAGGATCCCTAAAGCCTCATTCTTGCCGACGGTAGATTCCCGGATGCATGCGGATGGAACGCGTTGCTTCTAGATACAACAAGTGAGTTCGCTTACTCCTTGGTATTGCATCCTTCCAAGGTCGTGCTGCCCGATGATGGTAGAGGTTTTCTCCGAGCACCTGTCATGGTACCACACGCAGACATCGGCGTGTGCCAACGGGCATCTCCGCCAATCTGGCATCCGAGGGAAATAGCCCGGGCTTAACGAGAGAGGCTGAAGAAGTCGAGAAGCCCTTTCGCTGCACAGTGCGCATGTGGCTATGTTGAGGTTGGTGCAAGGCAGCGCAGCTCGTGAGAGTGGCGTGATACTTGTCGGCAAGGCCCGAAGTAGTAAGTCTAGCCGGCAAGGATATCCACAACTCGTGGCCATCGCGTTTTTCTGTGACCTTGGCGAGTGCAGCGTAAAGAATAGTAACCCTGCACGAGGCTCCTCCACAGAAGTCAAAGACGTGTACAGACTGACAGCGAGCCGCAGTGTTATCTCGCAGCCGAAGTTGTAGCTACCATGGCAAACGAAGACTATGGTAGCGGTGTTCTGAATACCATCACTAATAATAAAGATGGAACATAATGGGCGTTTCTTTGATTCATGAAGGTAGTGTTGCTGCCTACAAACAATGTACGTTTGTTGATTGTAGACACTCGCGATTTATTGAGGTCAACGCTTCTCAACCCCGCTACCCCTCAACGCGCGAACTGAAGCTTGCAGGTGAAGCTCCCAGCCTCCGCCATGACAACACCATCAACATCAACAACGCCTAATCGTGTCAAGACACGCTTCCTCATCATCTCAGATACTCACTCTAGATCTCCTTCCGATAATATCGCCCATGATGAGGCTGCCTTCCGCCCCCCACTGCCCAAGGCAGACGTGCTTCTTCACTGCGGCGACCTGACCATGATCGGTCATCTGGATGAATATGAGAAGACTCTTGATATGCTCAAAAACATCGATGCGGGATTGAAGCTCGTCATAGCTGGAAACCACGACATCACTCTGGACGAAGAGTATTACACTAGGAAAGGGGAATACATGCACAGAGGAGACAGATACGACAAAGACCTACCCGCCAAAGCTCGAGAGATGTGGAAGGGCGAGCGGGCGCGAAAAGCAGGTGTGACGTACCTGGAAGAAGGAACGCATACATTCCAGCTTCAAAACGGGGCCAACCTGAGGGTATGCACATTGCTAGACAGTCGACAACTCCATTCGAAGCTAACAGCGTTCAGGTCTACGCGTCCCCCTACCAACCAGAATTCTGCGACTACGCCTTCCCCTACTTCCGCAACGAAGACCGCTACAACCCTCCCCACCAATGCACACCGAACGCCAAACCCATCGCCGAAACCCCCGTTCCAGACTTTCCCAACATCGATGTCATGATGACCCACGGACCGCCCATGGGCGTCATGGACGCGACAACATCAGGACAGCACGTCGGCTGCGACCACCTACTGCGCGCTGCTCGACGCTGCAAACCCCGGCTTCATTGCTTTGGGCATATACATGAGGGATGGGGCGCGCAGAAAGTGCGGTGGAATAACAAGGGGGGGCTGGATGTCAGGATCGAAGAGCATATCGAAGATGTGGAGAGTGTGGATGTTGATCAGGATGCGGCTAGGGAGAGGAGGGCGGCTACTGTTGATATCGGCGAGGGTAGCGATACGGCGGTTGAGTTTGGGCGGGAGACTTTGATGGTTAATGCGAGTATCATGAGCGTGACGTATAAGCCGTGGAATGCGCCTTGGCTTGTGGATCTGGACCTTGAAATGGCTAGTTGATAAAGAATGGCTGTACGGAGTAGACGGGAAAGAGCTTCGGGAGTATGCATACATCACAAAGAATGAGTGGGCATCAATGGGATGGACCAACTACTGTCATGCGCGATATCGCCATCGTCGTTTCCAGACAGCGATTGATCTATAGCAGCCAGCTCAAACGTACTGCGATGACCTCTTCGCGTTCCCTCTAAACTTCGTCACTATTTCTCACAGGTCTCACACAGGCCGAGCAGTCTTGAGTCGCAGCTAGCGAAGCCATATGCATGCAATTCTTATGCAGCATCGACATAACAACTATCGTACATCGTAAAGCTCATCTTCGAGCAAGGTAGAAGTATCGTAAAAGAACAAGGTAACAAAAGAAGCGCGCTTAGTTGCCAACCTGAATCGCGTAGCCACCATCGACAGTGACAGTCTGACCATTGAGGTACTGACAGCCAACAGCGAACAAAATCGCCGCAGCCATATCCTGATCCTTACCCGGCCTCTGCGCAGGAAGACCCTCCTTATGCTCCTTCGGCATCTCACTCTTCTGGTTATCATCCCTGCTCTCCTGGGTGGTCATCTCCGAAGGGAACACACCGGGTGCGATGGAGTTAACCCTAACCTTGATCCCGTTCTTCGCAATCTCAGACGCGAGCAACTTGTTGAGGTGTATCGCAGCGCCTTTGCTGGAGTTGTATGCAAAGTGGCCTTGCGAAATCTTGATGTGACCGGAGATGGAGGAGATGTTGATGATGGTACCGGAGTAGCCGGGGTGTGTCTCGGTGGACTTTTGGAGCAGAGGCAGGAAGGCTGTGGACATGAGGAAGGGGCCGACGACGTTGGTTTGGTAGACGTCTAGCCATTCTTGCTCGGTTGTGCCGTCGAAGAGCTTGGAGACGAGGTCTTCGGCGGAGCCTTTTACTTCGGTCTTACCGGGGGCGATGCCGGCGTTGTTGACTGGGGGTGTTAGTTGGCGTTGCAAAAGATAGTAATGGGTGGTGGAGAGCTTACCGAGGACGCAGAGGCACTTCTCTTTTGATTCGATCTCCTTCTTGATCTTGCTGTGAGGTAATTAGTACTCCGTTCGCCATCAAACATCGTTGGCAACGTACGATACACCGTCCTTGGTACTGCAGTCTCCGACGATGGGGATGATCTAGCGACTGTTAGATTAGGTTCTCATGAATCTACCGTGTCGAAGACTTACCTGTCCTGCAATGTTCTGGCCATGCACCTCAACAACCTTCTCCAGCTTCTCCTCCGTCCGTCCAACAATGTAAACCTTAGCACCGTTGACAGCAAGCGTCTGTGTAATCATGAGACCAATTCCAGAGCCACCACCGGTGACTAGAACGACCTTGTCCTTGACATCAAAGACCTGGCCCATCTGGAGTTCGGCGTTGTTGGTAGGAGCCATGTTTGCGTAGTTGCGCTGTTGATTCTGCGGTTGGATTTGATTTGTGATTTGTTTCGTGCGCTCAATTGATTGAATGCGATTTGGAAGTGCAGAGAATGAAGAGGGGAAATTTCGCGTCGCAGAAGTCGTGATATAGCGGGTAAACGGTCTGACGTCACGGTATGAGCACCGCGTTGCAAAGCGCGTCAATGTGACGTGTGGGATTTTGAGCGACATGGCGAAAACGAAATTTCAGAATTAAAAGACCAGAGATTTAAGTGGAACAGATAAATAGGAATTCAGAGTTGACTGAGGGGTATGCACGCAGGATCGCGATTCAAACGCGTTGAAGAGGGTTGAGAATAATGCAGGTCATGATTGCATCACTGTGGTGCGGGAGATCGACCCGCACGCGGTGTCACGTTTTTCCCTATCTTCTTGACATAGTCGAAGTCTCCATCGACACATCATGTTTGGAGGGCCTGATTCCATGAGTTATACATCATCGAGAAACGATCGCGGGATAATCTATCAATACCACTGAAGATACTGGTACCTAGCAATCGTACGTATTCTACATGAGCAACACAGCTCTCAGCATGCCCCTAAGCTGCTCGGGAAATGTGGCTCTAAACTAGGAGAATAGCGAAACTAGGATACTAAAAGGTTTTGGTAAGAAGAATTGATGTTGAGGTGTCAATCATAAAGAAGTCTTAGGATGGGCTGATAGTCGATTCTTTTTCACGCATACTACACTTCCCACCTAGCATTCCACATCTCAATACGAGCGTCCCCCATATCCCATATTTACTCGGTTGCAGGTGCCTTGAGTACCTCATCGAGCCTAACCACCGTTGCCGAAAACGGCGTATGCAAACCCTCCGCCCTACCATCATACGTCTCGCCCCCATAAACCAACAGATGATTCGGCCTCTTCGCAAAAATCTGAATAGCCCGCGAATACACCGCACCAGCAGGCGTCATGTGTTCCTCCCACTTGTCCAGCGCGCCGCCCGCGGAATTCGTGTATACTTGGCGTCTATCCGCATCACTCACTATAATCGTGCCGTTGGGGCCGCCGAGCGGGGACCAGACGACGTAGGGGGAGGCGTTTGGCACCGTGCTGTTGTTCACGACGATGGGTCTACCGACGGAGTTACGGAAGTTCGTGGGCTCATCGGCCATGACGTAGTAGACGGGGTAGTTTTGGCCGTAGGAAGAGGAGTTTCCGACGGGGAGTTCGTGCACCAGGATCCATTGGTCGAGCGGTGGGATGTAGGCTACGACTGTCATGCCAGGGCGCGCGAGGTATTCGTCGTAGACAACGTCGTTTACGACGGGGCCCCAGGTGCGGAGGTCGGTGCTGGTTTGGTGGGCGAGCTTTTGGCCGTGGAGGGGATCGCGTTGGTCGGAGTAGTAGGCTATTAGTTCGCCTTTGTATTGGCTGCGTGGAATGTTAGTATTGGTGCTCGTCTAGGGATGGGAAGATTTGCGGCGACTCACAGAAAGTAAGGTTCCCAAATAGGGTCTGCACCATTCGTAGTATTCGGGCGTCCGCCCTCCGCGACATGGCTTACGAACTCCCAAGTCCGCGCTCCATCCGTGCTGGCGTAAAGGTCGATGCGAGTTCCGTTGTTGCTCCAGCTGTTTCCTCCACCCAGAATCGTGCCAGCTTCGTAGCCACCCATTGGCTCTGTCAATTCGGTCAACGCGGGCTGGGCGCTGAAACCCCATCCATTGACCGTGTCGTGTAGGTCAGAGATATGTTCCCAAGATGCGCCGCCATCTTTCGACTCGAAGATAGGGAAGTAGTTTGGGTTGTGGCCAGAGAGGGAGGCGGTGGCTATGATGGTTCCATCTTGGAGTTCAGTGTAGCGGGGGTAGGTGATTGATTCGTTGCCGGTGGTTTGGTAGATGGTGTTGTTTGTGAAGAAGCCCCAGGGTTGCGGGGCGGAGCTGTTGCAGGATGGTGGGTATGGGTGGGCTATAGCTGTGCTTGTCAGGGCCGCTGTGGCTGTTAGGATCTTGAACAACATCTTGAAACACCTTCCGATTGTGGTACCACGAGAGACTTTTGATTGATGCTGGGGTTCAATCGATCGATCGTACCTTCAGCTTAAGTATCTACACTTCATCGTTGACGCCACAGGCTCATCTCTTCCTTCGGCTACAAATGCGCGTCATCACCCTCGACAAAGCTTACCCTCAAGAAGCTATGCGTAGTTCAACGTTGGTACGAGCAGTGGGGATATACCCGGCGGGCCGTCGATCATCTTGTCGGTTCCCCATGGGGCCTTTTTTGCCGGTGGATGAAGGTCGTACGTCCTCACCTTGCTTGCCAGCTGCTGCTCTGCATGAGTCTTTTTCGTGAGGGGTATACAGTGTTTGTCAAGATTTGGCTGTGTCTCGACGGGTAAGTCGGTTGTGGAGTTGCTGTACGTACTCCGGCTATGTTTGTCGGTTGATGAGTGTGCCTAAACTTGTGAAGCGAGCTCAACAACAGTGCTGATAGCTGTCAGAGCTTTTGGAAGTTTTCAGTTCTCGTGGGTGGCTGGAACATCATGGAAGCTTCTGTGGAGTTGCAATCAGTATAACTGTTGCTTCTTCTTCGGATGTTACAACCACCAATCGGACAAAATTGAGCATGTGATGGCCTCGCCCAGGTCTCCTGACACGGCATACTCACTCAAATGGAAGGTTGTATCCAGCTCTGGGGCTAAACTGAAAGTTTGGGTGCTGCAAGTGCAAACAGCCGCGGCTCTTAAGTCTTTCTTCCACGAACCTCAAGAAGGATCGGAAAGTGGAGATATTGCTGCATGAATAGTAACACATGTAAGTACCCGAATTCGGCAACGATCTTCTGGAGTAGTCCAACAGTCGGTTAGCATATCCGAGCGACATGATGGCGTAAGTCGGCGCTCTGCAGCGTCTTAGGTAAGTATGTACCCCATGGGGTCTGCTCGTCACCTTGCATGATGCAGCAGTGCTCCACAGAAGGATGTCACCTGTTAAGTTTCCGAACAAGTGCCGTAGATTTCTTCTTCTTGGCGAGTTTCTTCTCCTTGGCATCATATACTTGAAGTGCCAGGAGACGGTGAAAATGCGACTTGGGCTATGTCGATTGGGCGTAAAATCAGAAGCAAGGGGAATGACTCTCTCGGGGTTGTATAGAAGTCTTGGTGTTCTCGTACGGCAGTTGGAATGGGTAACAGCTCCGTAGTATACCAAGAGATCGACTGATGAAGTCGCAAGTATGGGACTTAGGGTGAGGTTGAAGGTGAAATGCGAAAATGTACTTAAACGTCCGCTGCGAGACCGAAGGAAGGCCATAGCAGCCTTCCAGCCTAGGGATCCATGACAATGTTCCGTCCAACCTCTTTCTTCGCGCTTGGCGCTCTCTTGTTCCTCGCACTCCTCGATCAGGCTACCGCTGTCACAGCGGGCTGTGGCAAGGCGCCAAGGCTGACCAACGGCGTCCAAAGGGTCACGGTGAACGGCAAGCAACGTCAGTGGACGCTGCGAATCCCGAACAACTATGACAACTCCCACCCATACAAGTTCATCTTCGGTCTTCATTGGCTCAATGGCGACATGACATCCGTTTCGGGTGGTAACGCGCCATACTACGGCCTTGCGGCTTTGGCAAACGAGACTGCCATCTTCGTCGCACCCGATGGTATCAACAAGGGGTGGGGAAACACAAACGGCGAAGACATCACCTTCCTCGACACGGTCCGAAAGGCAGTTGAGGATGACCTATGTGTGGACGAGACGCAACGTTTCTCTCTCGGTTTCTCCTACGGTGGCGCTATGAGCTTCAGTCTGGCCTGCAGTCGTGCGAACGAGTACCGCGCCATCGCCGTCCTCTCTGGTGCAACTCTTTCAGGCTGCAATGGCGGAAACACGCCCATTGCATACTACGGCCAGCACGGTGTCAAGGACAGCGTCCTGCCCATCGCTATGGGAAGGGAGATCAGGGACCGCTTCGTGAGGCTGAACGGATGCCAACAGAAGAATGCACCAGAGCCCGCCAAGAACAGCAGACAGCGCATCAAGACGGTGTACGATGGGTGCAAGTACCCGACGCAGTACACTGCTTTCGATGGTGACCATGTTGCGCTTCCTGGGGATGCGGGTAACGATGTTGGACCGCAGAGTTTCACGCCCAAGGAGGTTTGGAGCTTCTTCTCTCAATTCTGAGTGATTTGAGTCGTTGTAGTGGGTCGATGGTGCGTACTTGAGGAGATCAGATGGCGATGGGAGCGACTGTGGCCGACAAGGGAGTATGAATCAGTATAGCGACGATTGTACATATCTTAGTGTCAGTATGAGAGAGCCGCAATGAAATAAGATGTTGGTGATTCAGAGATGTGCAAGTAGCAGCAGCTGTGACATTGAGACAGACTTCTGACTGGTTTGCACGCTATAATCTTACGTCCGAGATGTTAGGCCGAGAGTGTATCGTCGAAGACTTGGCAGCGTTTGAGTTGACGGCGGAGTGATGAGGGAAATGTGAGGGGCTAAACGGACCGCACGTGAAGAGGCGCCGCGCTAACTGGCTCCTTCCCCACCAACGCGAATGTCAACACTAACCAGTCGCGTCCCATCTCCACCACAACGTCATGGTAAGCATCAACAATTCGCTGTTATACGCGCATACTAACCGGGCTCAGGCGCCTGCGCGCTCCAAGGATGCGAAAGCGACGAAAAAACGAGGCCGGCCTCCGGGCAGTCGCAATTCTGGCGCGGTCGTGAAGGCCAAGTCGAAGCCCGCGCCAAAGCCGGCAGCAGCAAAGAAGGGCAGACCGAAGAAGAGACCAGCCCAGGAAGATGTCGAAGATGAGCTCTCAATCAATGAACCCGCGCCAGTCCAGCCCTCGAGACCCCGCAAGCGCAAGTCGGACGAAGTCGCTGAACCTGAAGCCGAGTCGCGCAAACAGTACGCGCAGCTGGAGAACAAGAAGAAGAGAATACCGCAGGAGCAAATAGACACATGGCCACAAGTGCCGCCTCAGGTCTTGGAACAGATCACGACGGTGATACGCAATGCGAAGAAGGACATCGCCGAGACGCAGCGAGACGAGCGCAGGATCATGGCCGCACACAACACACTCAACCCCCTGGTACGCAAGCTAGCGCGCCAACTAGCAGAGTCGCGGATACCCCCACAGGCCAAAGACATCCATTTCAACATCGACAAGCTCACGGAGCGCAATGCCCAAGTGTCGCGAGAGGTCACGACAGCCCGGCATTCCAAGCAGCTGCTCAGCGAGCAGGTCAAGATTGCCCAGCACCTGCTGAAGAAGGACGAAGATAACCTGGACGACCTGAAGAAGAACGTCAAGAATTGGAGAGCCGAGTGGAAGCACCAGAAGAAGCATGGACGGGTGCGTGTCTGTCTATTCTGGTCGAGCTGAACGTGTTGCTAACCTGCTGTAGATTCACCCCTTACTCAAAGACGAAGGCAATGCGACGGCCCACGGCGATGGTCCTGACGATATCCGTCTGAAGCGATCAGAGCCAGTAGCTTCCTCCCTTCTCGATGCGCCCGATGACGACCTCGCGCCAGTGCTTGCCCAATTGCGGCGCAGCCTGGAGAGCATGCAGGGCAACCATACACAGGTCGAGGGTCTCAATATGACCATCACCGACGCGCAAGCAGTACTAGACGACGTCTTGTTCAGGCACGCTGGCGCAGCGCAATATGCTGCCATACAAAATATCGATATGCAGGTCCCATGACGACTTTTGTTCTTTCTATAGCCACGCATGGCTCGGCGCATGGATCGGGCTCTGGGCAAGTGTGGTGAATACGGTACTGGGTTCGATATCAGGGCAGGTGTATGGCGTTGGAGGGCATCGGCGTAATTTCAATACTCTAAAGGAAGCTTTGTGCGAGGCATGGGCTAGGTTAGCAAGGCCCGTACCAGGCTGTCCAGCGTGGCGGCTGGCTGGAGTGGGCAGCGAGACCATTCAAGTCTATCAAAATACTCCCAGTTTTAGAACTGCGTTCCGACGGTATGGTCTTCGGAATGCGCGCGTTCGCGGCCGTCTCCATCATGTAGTGTAGCAATGCGGCGTGATTGGCTCTACCAGGGCTTCGGCAGAGCGGAGCCACTTCTGCAGCTGCAGCCCTTCTATGCGAAACTTGTGCAAACTACAACATGTCAAGCGCCGCTATCTGAATGCCCCGTCGCGATCACCCGCATTGCAGCGGGAAGCTGTCAAAATCTCCACTAGGAGGGTGGGCGGTGCACTTCTCCGCGATTGGGCCTGCGTTTCTCCGGGTTCTTCCTTCCAAGGTTCGGTTCGGCAAAGCACGCGACCGCGAACATTCACCTGGTCCTTCGTGCTTCTGAAACCACCTCTCCGCCACTCGTCTGCCGCGACTACGGGCCCTGCTGTGCCACAAAAGAACGTGTTCCTGGCGCATCTCGACCTTCTGCGCGCTTTTCGATGCTCGAGTGCGTGACGAGACCCCTGTCGTAACACACATGAACCTGCGCGTCTCCAAGAAAAGCACCCGGCTCTGACACCGACCCACTACCCACACTTGATGTCGGAAGCTGCACGACGATCAAATGGAGCTTCGCCAGTCAAAATGACGGAACCACTAGAAGCCGACAAGGACAAAGTCTCCCCAGAAAACACTGCGCCCAAAACCCATTCACCCTCCAAGAGCAAGCCCGATGCGACCAATTCCGAGGCGTCCGCAAAACCGCCAAAAAAGCGTAGAAAAGTAAATCATGGTAAGCCATCGATGCTGTGTACCCACAAATGCATCCGCAACCCTGCTAACCTATATGCCTTCCTTCAGCATGCATCTACTGCAGACGTTCGGTGAGCCACAGCCAATTCCCCAGCATTCGATACATGCAATGTATTTCCATGTAAGACAATTGTTACTGCTTGCTGACACACACCAATCAGCACATGACCTGTGACCTCGTAAGTGCACTGAGTATCGCCTCGTCTGTTCGCAAGCTGATTGAGCCCGCCCAATGTAGGAGCGACCATGCACACGCTGTGTCAAGCGCAATATTGGACACCTATGTCACGATGAGCCGCGTGAGGGTGTTAAAAAGTCAAAGTCCGAGCCAGAGAATGGCGATGGACAGAGTCAGCCCACTCAGGTCGAATCAACTTCCTCCGATGCCGCATCGACGGCCGCTCCTCCAGTTCCGGACGCAGCGCTAAACCTGGCGCCTCACCCAGTACCTCCTAATAGGGATGCCAGCACTACGTCAGGGACCCAGCCTGACCCCGTATCCGCGCCACAATTACCTGCCCTGACAGCTGGTAGTCAGCCTTGTAAGTTACACTTCTTCTCAGCTCCCCGTCGTAGTCGTCACTGACGCGCCGGAAGTCTTGGGCTACGATGGTTTGCTGTCCTCGTCTCAGAACAACCTTCAGGACATGCAGTTCCACCCCTCATATATGTTCAACACCTCCGAAGTCAGTAATGAGTATAATCTCCTCAACGACTTTCTCAACAACAGCCTCATGGACGACGGTGCATTTTACGGAGGCAATGACTTCCACAGCCTCTTTTCCGATGCCTCACTCATGAATCAGATGGGCTCTCTGAACAGCAACTCTGCCTTTACCTCGAACGCGTCAAGACCGTCGCAATTACTTCCACCTCCCGCGCAAAGTGTCGGTGGTCATGCTGCATCACGGCAAACAGGCGGCGTCCCTACTGACAAGGCAAGAGAGAGATACCTTGTCACGGCCGCTGATCCTGCTGGATCAGACAGTCCTGAAGAGCGCATGAACAAGCTACTCAAGGCCAAGGTCGACGCAGGGCTGCTGAAGCCCTTCAACTATGTAAAAGGTTATGCACGACTAAACCAGTACATGGAGCAGAACCTGCAACAGGCATCTCGCATCCGAGTACTGCGCCAACTGGATCGCTTCCGACCCAAGTTCCGAGAGCGAATGCAGAGTCTGACAGATGTGGATCTAGTACGCATTGAGATGTGGTTTGACAAGAGCTTGATGGAGTACGACCGTGTCTTCGCAAGCATGGCTATACCTGCATGTTGCTGGAGAAGAACAGGCGAGATATATCGCGGCAACAAGGAGATGGCGCGACTCATCCACGTACCGATGTCAAAGTTGCGAGACGTAAGTGCCAAACCGCGATCACTTGGGAAGTGACTCTAGCTAACAGGGTGTAGGGTAATATCGCTCTGCACGAGATCATCGCTGAGCCATCACTCGTTTCCTACTGGGAGAAATTTGGCGCCATCGCATTCGACCATACTCAAAAAGCTATCCTGACGAGCTGCTCCTTGAAGAACCCCGACCCGCACTCTAAGGATCCTGAGATACGTTGCTGCTTTTCTTTTACTGTCAAGCGCGATGCTTGGAATATGTAAGTGGAGGTAGACATTACCTCCGAGCTTAGACTGACTGTTGTAGACCGGCGTTGATCGTGGGCAACTTTCTTCCCATCACCGAGGCCACATCGGGGTCGCTACCGGCGTCTTGAGGCCGTCGAAGCCGCACCACAAATCACAACAATGGCTTCATCAATCTTCTACAAGTTCAAGAATTCAAGGGAAAGCGAGCGCATTATCTTCAACGGCACCGATTTGAGCGTTTTCGAGCTCAAAGCGTAGACGTTCTTGCGGAAATCTCGCTTGGAACGAGTGTTTTTGTAAAACTTTGCTGTACAATGGGTTGGGAACAGGGTAATGTCTGGATTGGGTGTCTCAAAACATTGGTCAGAAAGAGTGCGCACATCTCTTGGGAGGGTAATTGCAAGTGCGGCGATATCCACAGGTTTACTTCAACATGTACATCCTTTTGCCTGCCTTCATATATTCATTCATTCATTCCTCCGTCTTGCATCCAGTTTTCCTCGCGTCCACGGGTATGCTCCTTCCTGATCTCATGCACGTGCGTGTGGAGCCACCTTCCAGAGTGGCAGTCGCATTCCGACATCTCACACCTTCAAGCTGCACATCAACCAACGTCGTTCGCATTGCCATCTGACACGCATCATGCCGCCCGCGCAGTCAGCAGCCAAACTGGAGCGAGAGAAGAAGCTGAAGGCAGTCCTCAGTGAGTGCATTACCTCGCGCCTGCCCTACGCGTGACACTTACCTTTCCATCAGCATTCGCCTCGACGCTCAGCAAGCGCATAGAAGCCGGCAACCATGCGACGATTGTTGGTGAGCTTCAGGCTCAGATTCTCGGATTGCCACTCAAAACCTCGACTGCCGTCACCGCGAGGCAGGAAGAACTCGACAGGCTGGGAACAGAGCTTTGGAATCAAGCTACGCGCTTGCGACGCGACATTTCCGTGGTCAATAATCAGCCGAAGGATTCAGCGGCAAACAAGACCAACGTGGTACCTTTCCTCCGTGCGTACGCATTCCTACTCCTCGACTCAGCTGGCGGTCGCGGCCCAAACAACGTACGCCAGCGCAAGAGCTGCATCCGTCTCATGAAGGTTGCACTGAAAGCTGCAAGAGTGTGCATCGAGGCGAATGAGTTGATCATCGCGACAGACCTACTCAAGCTCGCTGCTGAGTACGAAGATGTTCTGAGCAAGGGAACCGACGCCAAGCCTGAGAAGGACACCGAGCTCGCAGAAGACCTACGTGCGCAGTACTTCGCTGTGCGGATGACTTTGTCGTGGCGTCAAGATCAGATGGACATGGCAGAGCATATGTTCGAGAAGAGCAGGCAAGTCAGGAAAAGCTTTACCTCTACCATCACTGAGCAGCTTGCCGATCTGCTGTACGAGATTGGGAAGGCTATGTTGGCGAAGCGCGATTATGAGTTTGCTAAGAGATGGCTAGAGCGCGCATTCGATGTTCTTGGGGAGCAGGACCTGGACATGCTCAGTCCAGAGATTGGTGAGCTGAGACTCAGTATCATGCAAAGTCTTGGTATGCACGTCCCGTTAACATGGCGATCAAGCTCTGGCTAATGAGGTCGTCAGTCAAGGCGTATATAAAGACTAAGACGCCTATCGCCCAAGAGAAGGCATGGCACATGGTGAAGTTGATGGAGACTGTGCGTCTCATGAACAGTCTGGCTCAATCCTATCTTTGGCTAACGCTCTTCAGGACTTCGGGGATAAGATGATTGTCTCATTGCTGAAGATCGAACTGCTGTCCGAAGCCGAAACCATGGACACGTCCGAGTTCTATCATGGCGAGCTACTCAAACCTGTCCGCCATCACGCGCTAATTCCCTTAGTCCTTCTGCGCATGATCCGTACCATCGTGCTGAACGATACAAACTTTAAAACGTATGCACCTCATCCGTTACCCTTTCTAATTCAGTCTAGATAACACATTCTAGCATTATGCACTACATTCACAAGCTCAAAGAACACAGGTACAAATGATCATACACGCCTACAGCGTCTTGCTGACCACTTCTAGCAACGTGACCGCCTGTAAAGTACTGGACGACCTGATCGATATCCGCCTCTTTCGAGAGGAAAACCAGTCTTGGGTCGAGAAGGCAGTCATCACGCGCATCTGGATTGGAATCAACCACAGTCTTTCCGAAAATTCGCTCGAGCAACTCAAAGACCTCTTCGATACCGTGGCGCAGAACTCCAAAGTATCGCTTTCTGCGCCTGCCACACATGCTGCGCAAACCCTCTTGTGGAAGAAGGTGGAGGCCGCGTCCAGCCAGGAACAACACGGCATCGCTGAGGCTTGGTGTCAAGCATGCCTTCATGACATCTTCGAGAAGGCTGGCGTGCAGAACAAAACCAAGGTTGCGAGGAAGATCATACAGTGCGCTTTGTCACGTCAAGATTACGAAGCTGCCCGGGAAGTGCACGCCAAGATGCCTGAGAGTGGTAAAGACGAACCGGTGACTCGCTACCTCATGTACAAGGCAGGTCTGCGAGGCGGCGACGAGATCTTCGCCGCTGAATGTCTCGACTATGTCTGTCGGAGTTCCGCGAAAGACGCTACCCTACTTTACGCTTGCGTCATGGAGGCTCAAAGTGCGGGGAGCAAGAGACAGGCTATCAATGCTCTCGAGAAGGTTCTAGAGAAGTACGAGCATAGTGCGCCGGCAGGGATACATCTCCCTGCACTCTTACGGTACGTCGCTCACCCGAAGTGTTACGCGCCTCTAACATGTGACCAGATCTACCGCACGTATGTTGGAGTCCGAGCTTATTAAAGATGGCAACATTGATACCGGTATCTTGGAACAGATTTGCAACGTCTTTGAGGGAGGTACGTCGTTATGCACTTACGGGAAGGCGCTTTTACTGATTGTCAAAGCATGCGTTCAAGCCAAAGCATCTCGCATCAGGCCGAGCACGCCGGCCAAGGAACTCTTCACAGCCGTGGAGTTTGAGTGGTTTTCTAAGAACGCTTACAACATGTCGCTGAAGTACTGCGCGGAGATGCCACCAGGACTTCTGGTTAGGTTGCTCGGATGCTGCACTGAGGTGAGCTAAACGCCAAAGACGGAAGCAATACCGCTGACCCTTGTAGTTCATCAACCTCCTCAAGGAGAAGGCCCAACCAAATCCAGACGGTGATCTTTGCCTCCGGCTGGTGTTCTGCGAATTCCTCGCTGCTTGTACCTACACCACCCTGGCCCGCGCAGAGGATAACACCAAGCAAAGCGTGAGTCGCGCATCTCGCCAGAACGACCAGTTTCTGACTACTACAGATTGGTTACTACCTCGAAGCCCATAAGCATAGCCAGGAGTTCCGACACACCGCAGCAGAGAGCATGAGCAAACTTGGTGGAACTTCTCAAGACGACATCATGTCAAAATACTTCCAGATTGTCAAACTGGAGCTCGAAGCTGTCCTAAAGCTTGAGAGATGGGATGAGCTTGACGATCTTTTCGACCAGTGTTGGAAGTATAAGAACCCGGATCATTACGAAACTCTGGCAGATCTCGTTCTAGTCGTGCATGGCTGCATCGTGAAAGCAGGACTAGAAAACAAATATCAGAAGAGTAAGAGCATCGAACTACTCGCTGAATAAAGACTGACGACGTTGACAGAAGTACTATCTGTTCTTCAGAAAATCATCAACCTGACTTGCCGCCAACCAGCAGGCCGCGACATCACAAAACTGGCACGCTGGCTTAGATGCATGTTCAGCCTTTCACTCGAGTACGACGAGGAAGTCAGCATCAAATGCATTCAGCAAGTAACGCATCTCGCTGCGAAGCAGAAAAACGTAAGTTCCCGCACCCTAGCAATCCCGATATATTCCTAAGCCCATTCAGACCCTCCATCCCACCATCGCGACAGCCGGACTGGATACACCGCCGCCATCTTCTGATTTCGCCACAAACGACGACACTGCAGACCTGGCTGACGAGTGCATCAAGGAGATCGACTGCTACCCCAAAACCGAGCTCGAATGGCTCGCAAGCACCGCTTTCAATCGCGCCGTGGACTTTTACCTGTCAGAAGACGATGTTAAGACGAGGAAATGGGCAGACCAGGCGTTCATCGTGGCACAGTGGATTGACGATAATGGTGCGATGCGAGATTTCCTGATGGACAGGTTCGCGAACCTGAAGTTTGGCGATGGCGAGGAGTCGGCGGCGGTGCAGCGAGCGGGCTGACAAGCGGTTGGCATGTTCCGAACCCGATCGTATCCAACGGGCGGCAGGATAAGCACTTAACGCGCTAAAGGCATAGCGCGTCGCCGCGTCTGCTGCATCTGTGGCTTTCACAACCTGGGCATTCGCATCCTCCTCCACTGATATTCGTTAGCTAAAATTATATACGTAAGTCCTGAACTCTGCTCCGCTGATTACGCCACGAGAAGTGGGGCGAGATGCCGAGCGGCCGTAGGTTCCGCGCGGTCAGAACCTCAACTTTTCGCACGACGGCGCTGTGTAATGTCGGCGTCTTCGGTGTCGCGGCGGTCGTGCAAAAAGAAAAGGAGGGTGCCTGGCCCAGGGGAACTCTGACTATGGAAGGTGAGTCGATGGCATGTGAGTCGATGAAGAGTCAGGCCAATTATGGGATTCTGAGTTTGGCATGCGACGCGCACGCGACATGTATCCACATTTGGACGTTTCTGACCCATGTATTCCCGGGGATGCAATCACAGCGAGGCTCGCACTGCACAGGCGTCGTCATGTTCCTTAACGCTTGTCAAGGATGACGCTGGCTACACTGGCTACGGGGTGGGTGGGGGCGGTGGAGGGGAGGCGGAGGGGCGGTGGTGGACGTGCTCTTCCTTTTGCTAATTATTAGTTGTAGGAAGAATATTCTCCCTATTGTAGGCAGGGTACCTGATGTTGAGGTAGGCACCTAGGCAAGGTTGGAGTGTGTTCTGAAGATGCTGGCCTGACTGCCTAGGTACGACGCGCACGCGACATGTATCCGCTTTTGACGGATGGTTTGCCGGGATTGTGATGCACAACAAGGCTCGCACTCGCACAGGCGTCAACTGCGTCGTCAGATTCCTTGACGCGCAAGGATGACGCTTCCTACTCCCGCGGTTAACGACATCTACCCTCACAGGTCC